CACGTACTGGGAGACATCCTCGCATGACACTCTCGCCTACGCCTTTTACAGCGTGCCGGATCAGTACAGGAATGTCCCAGCAGTGAAGTCCGCCTCGCGCATTTTCGACCAGATTCCCGACGGCCAGCTCGTGCGACCGGACAAACCGGAGCCTGCGGTTCTCCGCCTCAGCGCGGTGAAAGGCACTGATGACACCCGGAGGAACCTCGAGAGGCTGAAGGAGGAGTCCATCAAGAAAAACGTGGTCATCCTCGGCGCCAGGAGAGGCGAAGATATCGCCCCCAGGATCGGAAACACGATCACTACTCTGTGCGCCAAAATCGGGGACATTGCCCGATTCCTGGAGATGGGAGTGAGATCCAGAGCAGGGCCTATCCTCCCGACCAGGAGTGATCCTGACCTGATGATCCAGGCCATTGTTCCCGCACCCGAGGAGCTTCTGGACTACTTCGCCGACGAGATCCGTCAGAAGGTGAAGGGTAGGACGGGCGCCTCTTCGCACTACTACAGGAGAGCATGCGCGGAAATACGCGACGCGCTCCGTGGAACAGCTCTGCAGCCTGGAAATGCAGGTGCAGTCAAGGACCCAGAGTTGGAGGCCTCGTCTGCCAGCGGGCAAGGGAACGTTACTTCGGTGATACAACTGAAGAAGTTCCTGAGCCACTACTTCGGGACCAGCGTCGAGTCTGAGGATGCTTTTTCTTCGTACCTCCTGTCTTCCTTTCTCGAAGATGGGGTGGGAATGTTCGAGATCATCATCACCGTCATTCGTGACAAGGAGCGTCGGTTGCTGCCTGGTTCCGCCCGCATAGCGGCGGTAAGGTCGCTTGAGATCGGATCCGACACTGATTACCGGGCATTTCGTGAACGATACCAATACATGCTCTACGAGAGCCCTGTTTGTCTTCCTATCACCTCCAAGGTGGTTCCCAAGACACTCTACAAGGTGGTGCCTCTCCGAATGTATCGGCTCTACGTAGAACGTGGGGCGATCATTCGGGGTGGGCGAGCTCTGATCGAGCTCCTTCCCTCTCGGCCGGATGAATATCAATCCCTCCGCGATCACGGAGAATGCCCCAACGACACTGTCGACCGCATCACCGACAGCAATGTGACGGAGCTGCACACCTCGGGTCGACGCCAAAGGAGCGATCCCCGATATGTGGTCATGGCTATCGATGCACGTTTCTTCTCCATGGAAAATGGGGGCATGCATATTACTCGTCAGGGTACCTTTGCATCGCGCGAGAACATCGCGATCGGGTACTGGAGATGCGTCTACTTCAAGGAGGACTGCTCCATCATTTACCTGAGGCCTTGGTGCTATCCGCCCAACTTCCTCAACTCCGTGAGTGATAACCCGAGGAAGTGTCGGGACGAGATGGAGAAGTATCATCAGATCACCAAGACGGAACATGTCCGCGAGGTGGTGTCCGTTCCATGCCATAGGTGCATGACGGCCCACCCGGTCGGCGCTCACCTGTGCGCCGCCTGCTACCTTCCCATCTTCTATGAGGGTCCTGCCCACCGGAGACACGAACGGCGGCCCTCGCACGATAGCGAGCACCGACGGGGTGATTCCTCCCTGGCTGGCAAAATACGAGGGCTTCGTCCCCGCTCTGTGGAACAACGCAGACGCCAACGCCATCGGAATGGCCCTCTACTCGCAGAGTCCCGCCGTCGATGCCCGGTCCTTGTTGATGTCTGGGATGCGGCCTCCTAAGTACCTTGACAAAGAGGACGTGGATGGCATTTTCCGAAAACTTCACGACTCGCTCCGAGACGAAGTCCTTGACGGCAAATACCGTGACACGGTCGACCACAACGTGGAAGAGTGGGTAGCAAAGGCGATCTTGGCAAGGGGTCTTGCCTTCAACGGGAGCTCCGTCCCCGAATTCTTCGAAGAATATGAGGGATATGCGGCTGAGTGGGGCAGACGCGGCTTTTACACGTCCTACTACATTCTTGAGGCCCATATCATTGGGCTGAGAACAGGACACCTTTCTCCGATACTCCCCAACGATGTGTCCGGGGAGGGGTTCAAGTTCCAGGTGGGGCTGCTCGCACAGCACTGCGGGATATTGCAGGCCATGCGGAGAAAGGCCGGGTTCGATCCTGTGCCAACTCCTCCTCCTCCTCCTCCCGCTCCCATTGCGGCAGGCGTTACAACGACTGGGGATCCGTTTGAGGAAGAGGACATGGCCATCAATACTCGTGTCCCTGACACCAAGTCCGAGCTGGAGGGTGAGTCCGACCAACCCAAGGCCAGGAGGACATCTCGTGGTCGGGTCCCCGCGCCCGAAAAAGGGCAGGGGGGCGTTCAGGTCCCGCCTAGTTGGCAACCCAGCTCTAAGAGCATGGCCCAGCCTGCCCGTCCATCCCCGGCCCCCGCGAGAAGCGGTGTGGAAGGTGGGGAGAGAAGGGGCAGGACCAAGGGTTTCTACACCCAGAAGGATCCTTTTACCGGCGAGGACGCGACTCCCCGGAACGGTCCCGGAACTCCTGCGTCCCCACCACGGGATGCCACCGGTTCCTTGGGCGGCCATGGCGGCTATGACCCGCGCGATGACGACAACGACGAGTGGGAGCTTCCCCCGGGTGTGCCTCGGACCACTCGTGCGGCAAATGAGTCGCGGCCCCGCCGAGATGACGATCGGTCGAGGACCGCGCTTGGGGCCCGCGAGGATCGTCGCGGTCCTAAGGGTGAGGGGAAGGGTCGAGGAAAACATCGACCTGGCAAAGGTGGACGCGAGGATCCTGGCCCGCCCCGACAAAGGGATGATCGTGGCAGGGATACCCGCGGAGGCCGACGCGATGATCGCCGACCTCCTCCACGTCATGAGGAGACCTCCGAGAGGCGCGGTCCGGGGCGAGATGAGCGCCGCGGACGTGATGACCCGGGTGATGACCGTCGCGATCGCCACCGGGACCGGCGCAGGGATGACCGACGTCACCAATCAGATCCCCCTCCGCCTCGCCGACCTCCGGCTGGTGACCACAATAGGGGTGGTGGTGAGGATCGCCGTCGGGATGGAGGAGGTGATCGAGGTGACCGTGGTGGACGCCGGAGAGACGACGTGCCCAGGGACCGGGAAGAACCTGGTTCAGGGTGGTAGGCGGGTACCGCAATCAGCATCCGCCTTAGAAGGGCGAGGATAGTACGTGTGTCGCCGAAAAACGCGACCGCGCCGGTCCTCCTCTCGCCCATGCGGCGCTGCTGGGGGTGATGGTCTCCATTGCCCTGTACCGCTGATCCGGCGTTGCTCGTGTCCCTCCCGCACCGCTGCCGTGCGCGCCGGAGACGGTTCCCCTGGCGATCCTGTGTGAGGCTGTGACCGCACTAGAAGTGCCGGGCCGGCCGTAGCCGGATATTTTCACACCAATTTCGGAACTTCCGTTTCTAATTTCCTCCCAACTCGACTACTCTTCCAACCACTCCACGGCGTGCAGTGAGGCGCGGTGATCCAGATAGGGTCCCCCTCCGCATGGTGTCGTCCTATGACAACGCATGAACGGCACGAGAGGAATCTTCGTCTGGTTCCTCCAATATGTCTTTGTTCACTCATGTGGTCCACTCGTCAAATAATCCTGTCGCCCCGATAATTCGGGGTGGTGGCGGGATTTTAACTGGGGCCCAGGTGATGCCGTTTGGCTCACCTCTGAGTTGACACCGGCATTTTTGGTTGGTCCCTTTCGTCGTGAACTCAACTGTCTCGCATCCTTTCTCTCGTCCAGATATCGGACGAGGGGGGTGTGTTTTGTTCACGTGTTGTTTCATCATGTGGCAAAACGGCCGAATGGCCGTTTGGCTCAAGGTTTTTGGGAACTCGCGTCAAGTTCCCCTCGGACTCGCGTGCGAACGCCATATCCTGGCATCGCTCTTCGTCACCGCAAAAGGCTTTGTGGTGCCGCGGCGCTTTGGGGGTAGGAGGTGTTCGGTGGGCCGTCGAGGTGTTCTTGGGCCTGTCCCTCAAACTACTGTTTTGCAATCCCATTTCTAACCTCCCCAAACCTGATCTTCTTCAACTGTCACTCCCACAACCTGGTCATCAGCACCTTCTCCATTGTGCGTTGAGACTGGGTTCTTTTGGTACTTCGTGGATTACGTGTACTCTTTGATTCCCTGGGCTACTTCGTGTTCGCCCAAAACCGCAAAAACCAATGGTACCATTTTGGGTAGGTGCACCACCCATTTTAGTCTATTTTTAGTGGGGATTGGGATGTTCACTGGGGGTACGGGGTTTTGACCCATGGCCATATGTCTCAGGCTGGCCTGTGGTAATAGAGTTGGGAAAATGGCTCAGTTGGCTCTGTTGGTTTGCTGCCGTTCTTCTTGATTCTTCCGCAGCAGTGTGATTTCTTTGAGGTCGGCCGTGCTGGCCGTCGGGGCCTTCACCCTGACGCGCCTTTGCTTCGTGGCGCCGCCGCCTGCGGTGCATCAGCCGCACCTCGGCGGGTCGAGGAAAGCTTGGGTGGCTGGGCTGCTTCTGGTGGAAGTTGGTCAGGGGTTGGTTCATGAAATACAGCACACCCAGCCAGACTCATGCGTGGCGTGCCGAGGCTGCGGCAGAGCCACGTGGCGCTGCAGGCGCGCGGCGGCGGCGAGTACGACGTCAGTCCCTGGCCGGCAAAGATCGAGTGGTTGGCTTGCTGGTGCTCCGCAGGGAATGAGGGAATGACCTTTTTGAACTATCCCTTCTGGTTTCCTGTGGGGAAATCCCTGTGTTCATTCACAGATTCCCTACTTTTTGCACCAGCAAGTGGGGTACTGGGTGATGCTAGGTTACTCGGTGATTGGGGGTTCCTCGCTGGCATTGGCTGGCACGGGGGAATTGACCGGGAGGCAGGCAGGTCGGGTGGCGAGGAGATATGTGGCAGGGGTATGTCGTAGGATCATGCAGCAGGGGTATGTGATAGTAAGAATGAGTGGTTGGGCAGTTGGTTGTGTTCAGCGTGCAATTCTTTCAACTTGGTTCAGAGTTGAGTTGTTGGCAAGGGAGATGGGTGCGTGGTTGGGTTTGCGAGGCGATGCGGACATTGACGCCTTCTACAACTCCCTGCTGACGGGATCGGGCGGTGACCCCCCCAAGGTGCGAGTATCGAAAGAGTTTGGCGCGCAGAGGCTAGGGCAAAGAATGGGGTCGACAATCAGGTTGTTGTTTCTTTTCTTGTTGTTTGCGTTGACCATGAAATTGAATGTTTCAAGTTTCAAGTGCGTTGACAGACATGTTTCCGATGTGCTTAGACCTTGCCTTGGTTCTTTAGTGGCTTGGCTTTGCGACTGCTTTGCTATCGTTTGGCTTAGATGGGTGAAGACCGTGATGTGGGGTGCAGGGCACCGTGCTGTCGGAGCTCATCGTAAAGTTCTTCCACGGCGATTTCACGCCCCAGGGCTTCAAGCGCTACTCTGGCCTGTGGAAGGGCCCTCCTCCTGGCAACATCGGCAAGAAGGCGAGCAGAGAGACCAGAAAAACCAGGGAGACGGGCAGACTACAAGGGAGACGGGCAGACTACAAGGGAGAGGAGGGAGACGAAGAAGAGATAGAGGGTTCGGCCAGAGATCCAACGAACAGATACATGCCGGTCAAAGTCGGCCGCAACTTGACATGTTCAAGGCTTGTCATGAGTTCCATGGGCAATCCCCGCTCCGTTTCGGCATTTCCGAGTGACCACTTGAACGTTTTCTGTGGCAGGACATTGCCATCGGTGTTGAGAAGCTGAAGGAGCAGATGGCCAACCCCATGCGACTTGTCAGCTGAGGGATGTCAGTAGGCTTCTCTTGCATGCATTGCATTCCACTTTCCTGCCCAAGCAGTATGGTCTACAGAGGCATGTTTGAAGAAAACATTGATGAGACTAAGTCCAAGCTGGGATTTTTGGTGAGGGTTGTGCTGGCCTGAGGTTCGTGACCAAGGGCGGCGTGGGCTACGGTGTGGATGAGACGCAGAAGGTGGTGGACGATGGCAAGGGCTGGGTCTGGCTGGCAGCCGAGATGAGCCCGGGAGGCGCGTGTGGATGCATGACGCCACGTCGCGACGACGGCGCGACGACGTGTCGCCGAGTGGTGGAATGGCGCCCAAGTGACGGGCCCCGTATGAACCTTGTTTGCCGCAAGTGATGGGCTGGTTCGGCTCGTTTGTCTGCAGCTTCGAGAGGCCTCGCCGTGGAGCTCTTCAAGGCCGTGCCCTACGGCAAGCGTGCTGTGCTGGTGGCCAAGCAGAACAACGTGGCGGAGCTCTTCGACAAGGCCCGGCTGAGAGCAGCCGAGCGTCTTCCCGGTTCAAGCGATTTCCGTGTTTTGGTGTCTTTCTGAGATTCTGTTGTGTGTCGCCGGTTGTCAGTCACTCGTTGTTGTGACTGGGGGTTTTCAGCCGATGTTTCCGGGCGCAGGTGAATTGGGATACAGCCCTGGGGAACATCGAGAAGACCTTCGGCGGGCCTCAGGTGGGATCGAGCGCAGCGACGGGTATATCGTTCAAAGCTTGAAGGTCTTCAAATAGCAGAGCATACAGCTTTGGCTAAGCTAGACTGCTCGTAGACTCGTAGTCCTTCTAAACAGCTCCGGCCTAGGGGATCTGCAAACCAAGCAAGCAACGATGATGTCACGGGTCATATACAGGCCCAGGGCCATCAACAGAAACTACACGCTACAGACGTTCCTCCCATTCTGGGGGGAGGGGAGTGCTGACGGCCTCGCGCAGATCAAGCAGCGCTGAGCACGACGTGCAGCTTTGCGCAAGTTTGTTCAGGTGCGGGTTGGGGCATGATGGCGTGCATGCATTTGATCAAGCATTGGTAGCTTGTTGATATGGGATTTGGAGTCAGTGGGGTACTGGTGTGCAGCAGTGAAATGGGCCTAAAGCGCCTGCCAGACTCAGCCACCTTTTGCATGACACTTGGCAAGGTGTTTGAGTTGCCAAGTTTCTTCTTGGCATCTTAAGGCATTTTGTTTGAGCACCATGTGTGAGCAATGGGTTTGCCTGCAATCGCCATCGTTGATTGCCAGAGTCTCGCAGTGCGGCCAGGTGTGGAGCGGCCTTGTGCCAACCAGTTTTCTGCCTAAAGGCGATGCCTGGTCACTTCACCGTGGCCGGGCGAGTTCTCAAAGGGTGCTGCCAGCGCAAGGGACAAACCATCCATCCACGGACTTGTTTGAACCAAGGAGTGACATTTTGCAGGGTATTGAGTCCGCTTGTTGATTGGGCTGGGTAGCTGAAGTTATGGTTTCTAATGCATTTGAGTACATAGCAATTATGCAAAGTCTCCGGGTGCGCCAAGTACCCTCAGAAAATTGCCTCCGCGGCTTTGCTGCTTTGATGTGCTCTGTGTGATGCCGTTATTCTCTGGACGCTCATCAGCTTGGCTCGACGCGAAGCTGCGATTTTGCCAGCCACCATGGTGCGAGCGTCCAACCGCCTGTTGGTGCCACCTGACTGCAATGCAGTGTAGCAATCCCAGGCGCAAGAGGCATGAGTTGCAGAAAGCGTCAGAGGCAGCAGAGGATTCGATCAGGCACAGATAGGTGATGTCAGCATGTCTCGGCGAAGGTCAGCCGTGCTGGCCGTCGGGGCCTTCACCCTGACGCGCCTCTGCTTCGTGGCGCCGCCGCCTGCGGTGCACCAGCCGTACCTCGGCCGGGCCGTTGGGGCATGTGGAAGTTGGTGTCAAGCTGGATCCGGTACAGCGTATGCCGCAAGAAACAATGCCACGTGTCGGGCCGCCCAGGTTGCGCCAGAGTCAGGTGGCACTGCAGGCGCGTGGCGGCGGCGAGTACGACGTCAGCCCCCTGGCCAGCAGAGGGTATTGCGGGAACAAGCTTGTTGATGTACAAGGTATGTGCCAGGGATGTTGGGCGGGGTCCATGGGATGGTTGGTCGTGTTGTGCCAAGTCTTTTTGTTTATGAGTCAGGCGACGCGGACATTGATGCCTTCTACAACTCCCTGCTGACAGGATCGGGCGGTGACCCCCCCAAGGCGCAGAGTCTTGAAGAGAGTTTAATGTGCAGAAGCTAGGGCAAAGAGAGGGTTGTTGCAGACATGTTTCCGATATGCTTAGAGCTTGCCTTGGTTCTTTAGTGGCTTGGCTTCGCGACTGTGGCTACCGTTTGGCTTAGATGGGTGAAGAACATGATGTGGGGTGCAGGGCACCGTGCTGTCGGAGCTCATCGTGAAGTTCTTCCACGGCGATTTCACGCCCCAGGGCTTCAAGCGCTACTCTGGCCTGTGGAAGGGCCCTCCTCCTGGCAACATCGGCAAGAAGGCGAGCAGAGAGACCAGAAAAACCAGGGAGACGGGCAGACTACAAGGGAGACGGGCAGACTACAAGGGAGAGGAGGGAGACGAAGAAGAGATAGAGGGTTCGGCCAGAGATCCAACGAAAAGGAGACCTGACACGTTGAAGGCTTGTCATGAGTTCCCTGGGCAATCCCCGCTCCGTTTCGGCATTTCCGAGTGACCACTTGAACGTTTTCTGTGGCAGGACATTGCCATCGGTGTTGAGAAGCTGAAGGAGCAGATGGCCAACCCCATGCGACTTGTCAGCTGAGGGCTGTGAGCAGGCTTCTCTTGCATGCATTGCATTCCACTGTCCTGCCCAAGCAGTATGGTCTACAGAGGCAAGTTTGAAGAAAACATTGATGAGACTAAGTGCAAGCTGGGATTTTAGGTGAGGGTTATTCTAGCCTGAGGTTCGTGACCAAGGGCGGCGTGGGCTACGGTGTGGATGAGACGCAGAAGGTGGTGGACGATGGCAAGGGCTGGGTCTGGCTGGCAGCCGAGATGAGCCCGGGAGGCGCGTGTGGATGCATGACGCCACGTCGCGACGACGGGTGTCGCCGAGTGATGGAATGGCGCCCAAGTGACGGCCCCGTATGAACCTTGTTTGCCGCAAGTGATGGGCTGGTTCGGCTGGTTTGTCTGCAGCTTCGAGAGGCCTCGCCGTGGAGCTCTTCAAGGCCGTGCCCTACGGCAAGCGTGCTGTGCTGGTGGCCAAGCAGAACAACGTGGCGGAGCTCTTCGACAAGGCCCGGCTGAGAGCAGCCGAGCGTCTTCCCGGTTCAAGCGATTTCCGTGTTTTGGTGTCTTTCTGAGATTCTGTTGTGTGTCGCCGATTGTCAGTCACTCGTTGTTGTGACTGGGGGTTTTCAGCCGATGTTTCCGGGCGCAGGTGAATTGGGATACAGCCCTGGGGAACATCGAGAAGACCTTCGGCGGGCCTCAGGTGGGATCGAGCGCAGCGACGGGTATATCGTTCAAAGCTTGAGGACTCTTTGCCTAATCGCCCAGTGAAGCAGCGCTGAGGGGGGGCAGGCTGACTGTTTGTAGAGCGGCAAGTCTGCTTCTTTCCAAGGGATCTGCAAACCACAGCTCCCAAGCAAGCAACGAGATGTCATGGGTGATATACACCATCAGTTTTCTAGATTGCTCATGCAATAAGTCCTCTCTCGTCGCAGATACAACACCCCAACGCAGCACTGCAGATGCTGGTTCGTTTTGGTGGGACGGGAGTGCTGACGGCCTCGCGCAGATCAAGCAGCGCTAAGCACGACGCGCAGCCTTGCGCAAGTTGTTCAGGTGCGGGTTGGGGCATGCACGTCTTTTGCGAACTGCTTGCAAGGGATTGTGGCGTACATGCATTCGATCAAACATTGGTCTCTTGTTGACATGGGATTTGGAGTCAGTGGGGCACTGATGTGCAGCAGTGAACTGGCCCTAAAGCGCCTGCTGCCAGACTCAGCCACCTTTTGCATGACACTTGGCAAGGTGTTGGAGTTGCCAGTTTCTTCTTGGTATCTTAAGGCATTTTGTTTGCAGAAAGCAGTGTGCCCAGCGCTGGGTTTTTGCACATTCCTGCTGTATGTATGATGGTTTCAGGGCTGGGACACTGCGCAAACCGCAAGCAGCCAACACATTGATGCATTGTGACCCCTGTCACTTGAGCAGAGAACCTTCTTATTGTCCACTAGCTACAAAACTCAAAAAACCTCGGGAAAAACAAAAAAACAAAAAAAAAAACAAAAAAAACCAAAAAAACCAAAGCCCCTGGCAAAAGGTTTCCAGCCTGGCACTTGAACATTTCCCTGGGGGCTTTGTTTTTTTTTTGTTTTTTTTTGGGGTTTTTTGGTTTTTCCCGAGGTTTTTTGAGTTGTTCTTGCTTTTGTAGCTTTTCTCCAGGTTGTTTGTGTTTTTCTCGGTTTCCTTGAGTTTCTGTAGGTTGGACCGCCCTCACGCATTCTAGCTGCTGTTATCCCGCAGGCTCGCAGACAGCTTTCCTTCGTCTCATCTGCTTGCGCACGCCTGAAACAAATGTATTCGAATACCGGAAAAAACAACTATGAGCAACAGTGAATCTAGATTGAATATTTTTTTGCCAAATGGATAAGAACACCTTTCAACAATTTGTGATGGATAATTTATTGAAGACCGACAATAAGCGCTTGATGTCTAACAAAAAAGCATAATTTAATGTATGGCAATTTTCTAAAGGAGTTCATCAAACAGAACAACAAGTATTAATTTAAGATTATGTTTTATAAACAACTTTCGTGTACTCATAAAGGCGATTACAAAAGTAGTATTTATGAACTTTGGACAACGGATCTAGATGAGAATGATGAAATAACAGATAAACTAATTAAAACATAATAGGGAATGTCAATTTGGATTATTGGAAGAAGGAGGTGCTACTAGACATCAAGGCATTTTATTTAAAAGTATTGGTGAGGCAATCCACTACCAAACTGAAGACCAAGGTAAACATCATAGCTTACCCCATATAGAAAGTGAAGAAGATGATGAAGAAGGATAATATGAAGGCACCATATGTTGTATTGAATTTGAAGGATTAAGTAGAATTAAGAAATGGATATAGGTATGTTAGGAACTACTTTTACAACATCATAAATTTTCAAATGAACCAAGACTTTTTCAAATCAAAATTAAATAATGCTAATGCATATAGTGTTAAAACCGATGCTTTTGTAATTGATACTTGCAATGTAGAAAAGGCAAGGCACCTAGTAGAATTTCATATTGACATAGGAGGCTGGAAGGTTTCAAAACAAGATGACGAAATTAATTTTCCTACAATAAAATATGAAGTTGCTAGAAATGAAATAGTAGAAATACCATTTTATGAAAGTAAAACTGTTGATATTATAGATGAATACGACATTGACAAAATAATAGAAGTGAGTGAGCCAAATAATCCTATGATGATTCGTGCGTGGTGCTTACCCGGGCACAGGCAAGAGGTGTATATGTCAAAAAAATTGTCGGTAAGGGACATAAAGGAATTGTTTTTTGTCCTACTAATAAACTATTACAATCCGTTGAAGGTGAAGCAATGACAATTAACGAATTCTTCGGCATCAGTTATGGCGATGCTAAAGTAGAACCATTTGATTTCACAGATTATGATACACTAGTATTTGATGAAGTTTGTTTTAGTGGGGCTTTTTAGGCTGCATATGCACACATAAGACCACATCACATTAGACACATTGCCGTCAAGCCATCCACCAAGCCTTCCTTCCCACAGAGTCCGTTTAGAGATACCTGTGTCCCCAGAAAGTGTTTTCCGAAGGTTTTTTTTCGTAATTTTGGCAAATTGGAAAAAACAGTGGTTTTGTATGGAAAACACACGCGCTGGGGACACTGCCCTCTCTTGATATTATAGATGAATACGACATTGACAAAACAATAGAAGTCAGTGAGCCAAATAATCCTATGATGATTCGTGCGTGGTGCTTACCCGGGCACAGGCAAGAGGTGTATATGTCAAAAAATTGTCGGTAAGGGACATAAAGGAATTGTTTTTTGTCCTACTAATAAACTATTACAAGCCGTTGAAGGTGAAGCAATGACAATTAACGAATTCTTCGGCATCAGTTATGGCGATGCTAAAGTAGAACCATTTGATTTCACAGATTATGATACACTAGTATTTGATGAAGTTTGTTTTAGTGGGGCTTTTTAGGCTGCATATGCACACATAAGACCACATCACATTAGACACATTGCCGTCAAGCCATCCACCAAGCCTTCCTTCCCACAGAGTCCGTTTAGAGATACCTGTGTCCCCAGAAAGTGTTTTCCGAAGGTTTTTTTCGTAATTTTGGCAAATTGGAAAAAAACAGTGGTTTTGTATGGAAAACACACGCGCTGGGGACACTGCCCTCTCTTGATATTATAGATGAATACGACATTGACAAAATAATAGAAGTGAGTGAGCCAAATAATCCTATGATGATTCGTGCGTGGTGCTTACCCGGGCACAGGCAAGAGGTGTATATGTCAAAAAATTGTCGGTAAGGGACATAAAGGAATTGTTTTTTGTCCTACTAATAAACTATTACAAGCCGTTGAAGGTGAAGCAATGACAATTAACGAATTCTTCGGCATCAGTTATGGCGATGCTAAAGTAGAACCATTTGATTTCACAGATTATGATACAATAGTATTTGATGAAGTTTGTTTGAGTGGGGCTTTTTAGGCTGCATATGCACACATAAGACCACATCACATTAGACACATTGCCGTCAAGCCATCCACCAAGCCTTCCTTCCCACAGAGTCCGTTTAGAGATACCTGTGTCCCCAGAAAGTGTTTTCCGAAGTTTTTTTTTTTTTTTTGTTTTCCGTAATTTTGGCAAATTGGAAAAACAGTGGTTTTGTATGGAAAACACACGCGCTGGGGACACTGCCCTCTCTTTGTTTGAGCACCATGGATGAGGAATAGATTTGCCTGCAATCGCCATCGTTGATTGTCAGAGTCTCGCGGTGCGGCCAGGTGTGGAGCGGCCTTGTGCCAACCAGTTTTCTGCCTAAAGGCGATGCCTGGTCACTTCACTGTGGCCGGGCGAGTTCTCAAAGGGTGCTGCCAGCGCAAGGGACAAACCATCCATCCACGGACTTGTTTGAACCAAGGAGTGACATTTTGCAGGGTATTGAGTCCGCTTGTTGATTGGGCTGGGTAGCTGAAGTTATGGTTTCTAATGCATTTGAGTACATAGCAATTATGCAAAGTCTCCAGGTGCGCCAAGTACCCTCAGAAAATTGCCTCCGCGGCTTTGCTGCTTTGATTTTGACTTTGTGATGCCTTATTCTCCATGCTTCAAAGTCTTATGCAGGGTGCCAGGTGATTGCGTTGCTGTGCAATCTGGCTAACTGAAACTGACCTTGGACGCTCATCAGCTTGGCTCGAAGCGAAGCTGCGATTTTGCCAGCCACCATGGTGCGAGCGTCCAACCGCCTGTTGGTGCCACCTGACTGCAATGCAGTGTAGCAATCCCAGGCGCAAGAGGCATGAGTTGCAGAAAGCGTCAGAGGCAGCAGAGGATTCGATCAGGCACAGATAGGTGATGTCAGCATGTCTCGGCGAAGGTCAGCCGTGCTGGCCGTCGGGGCCTTCACCCTGACGCGCCTCTGCTTCGTGGCGCCGCCGCCTGAAGTGCACCAGCCGTACCTCGGCCGGGCCGTTGGGGCATGTGGAAGTCGGTGTCAAGGAGGATCCGGTACAGCATATGCCGCAAGAAACAATGCCACGTGTCGGGCCGCCCAGGTTGCGCCAGAGCCAGGTGGCACTGCAGGCGCGTGGCGGCGGCGAGTACGACGTCAGCCCCCTGGCCAGCAGAGGGTATTATGGGAACAAGCTTGTTGATGTACAAGGTATGTGCCAGGGATGTTGGGCGGGGTCGATGGGATGGTTGGTCGTGTTGTGCCAAGTCTTTTTGTTTATGAGTCAGGCGACGCGGACATTGATGCCTTCTACAACTCCCTGCTGACAGGATCGGGCGGTGACCCCCCCAAGGCGCAGAGTCTTGAAGAGAGTTTAATGTGCAGAAGCTAGGGCAAAGAGAGGGTCGTTGCAGACATGTTTCCGATATGCTTAGAGCTTGCCTTGGTTCTTTAGTGGCTTGGCTTCGCGACTGTGGCTACCGTTTGGCTTAGATGGGTGAAGAACATGATGTGGGGTGCAGGGCACCGTGCTGGCGAAGCTCATCGTGAAGTTCTTCCACGGCGATTTCACGCCCCAGGGCTTCAAGCGCTACTCTGGCCTGTGGAAGGGCCCTCCTCCTGGCAACTTCGGCAAGAAGGCGAGCAGAGAGACCAGAAAAACCAGGGAGACGGGCAGACTACAAGGGAGACGGGCAGACTACAAGGGAGAGGAGGGAGACGAAGAAGAGATAGAGGGTTCGGCCAGAGATCCAACGAACAGATACATGCCGGTCAAAGTCGGCCGCAACTTGACATGTTCAAGGCTTGTCATGAGTTCCATGGGTAATCCCCGCTCCGTTTCGGCATTTCCGAGTGACCACTTGAACGTTTTCTGTGGCAGGACGTTGCCATCGGTGTTGAGAAGCTGAAGGAGCAGATGGCCAACCCCATGCGACTTGTCAGCTGAGGGATGTCAGTAGGCTTCTCTTGCATGCATTCCATTCCACTTTCCTGCCCAAGCAGTATGGTCTACAGAGGCAAGTTTGAAGAAAACATTGATGAGACTAAGTGCAAGCTGGGATTTTTGGTGAGGGTTGTGCTGGCCTGAGGTTCGTGACCAAGGGCGGCGTGGGCTACGGTGTGGATGAGACGCAGAAGGTGGTGGACGATGGCAAGGGCTGGGTCTGGCTGGCAGCCGAGATTAGACGGGGAGGTGCGTGTGGATGCATGACGCCACGTCGCGACGACGGGTGTCGCCGAGTGATGGAATGGCGCCCAAGTGACGAGCCCCGCATGAACCTTGTTTGCCGCAAGTGATGGGCTGGTTCGGCTGGTTTGTCTGCAGCTTCGAGAGGCCTCGCCATGGAGCTCTTCAAGGCCGTGCCCTACGGCAAGCGTGCTGTGCTGGTGGCCAAGCAGAACAACGTGGCGGAGCTCTTCGACAAGGCCCGGCCGAGCGTCTTCCCGGTTCAAGCGATTTCCGTGTTTTGGTGTCTTTCTGAGATTCTGTTGTGTGTCGCCGGTTGTCAGTCACTCGTTGTTGTGCCTGGGGGTTTTCAGCCGATGTTTCCGGGCGCAGGTGAATTGGGGTAGAGCCCTGGGGAACATCGAGAATACCTTCGGCGGGCCTCAGGTGGGATCGAGCGCAGCGACGGGTATATCGTTCAAAGCTTGAGGATTCTTTGACTAATGGCCCAGTGGAGCAGCGCTGTGGGAGAAGCCTTGTGTAAACTGGTTGGGCTCTGGTCTGCATGCAAGGGATCGCAGTCAGGCGAATTGGAGTCGGATCTCCAAGAAGCACATCAAACCGCTTTAGTTACGCTAGACTGTCCGTAGTCCTTCTTCAGCTCAGGCCAGGCCTTTCATCCCAGTGAAGCTGCGCTGAGGGGGGGGGAGGCTCGGGATCTGCAAACCACATCTCCCAAGCAAGCTACGAGGATGTCACAGGTCATACACAGGGTATTGGCCATCGGCAGTTTTCTACACACTGCAGACGTTTCTCCCCTTTTGGGGGACGGGAGTGCTGACGGCCTCGCGTAGATTAAGCAGCGCTGAGCACGATGCGCAGCCTTGCGCAAGTTGTTTAGGTGCGGGTTGCAGCATGCACGTCTTTTGCAAGCTGCTTGCAAGAGATTGTGGCGTGCATGCATTTGATCAAGCATTGTGGAATTTGGAGTCAGTGGGGACTGGAGGAGTGAACTGGCCCTAAAGCGCCTGCTGCCAGACTCAGCCACCTTTCTATGGACACTTAGCAAGGTGTTGGAGTTGCCAAGTTTCTTCTTGGCACTTTGATTGGATTTGCCTGCAATCTCCACCGTTGATTGTCAGAGTCTCGCGTTGTGGCCAGGTGTGGAGCGTCCTTGTGCCAACCAGTTTTCTGCCTAAAGGCGATGCCTGGTCACTTCACTGTGGCCGGGCGAGTTCTCAAAGGGTGCTGCCAGGTGATTGCGTTGCTGTGCAGTCTGGCTAACTGAATTGACCTTGGACGCTCATCAGCTTGGCTCGACGCGAAGCTGCGATTTTGCCAGCCACCATGGTGCGAGCGTCCAACCGCCTGTTGGTGCCACCTGACTGCAATGCAGTGTAGCAATCCCAGGCGCAAGAGGGCATGAGTTGCAGAAAGCGTCAGAGGCAGCAGAGGATTCGATCAGGCACAGATAGGTGATGTCAGCATGTCTCGGCGAAGGTCAGCCGTGCTGGCCGTCGGGGCCTTCACCCTGACGCGCCTCTGCTTCGTGGCGCCGCCGCCTGCGGTGCACCAGCCGTACCTCGGCTGGGCCGTTGGGGCATGTGGAAGTCGGTCAGGGGGCTGGGTCAAGCTGGATCCGGTACAGCGTATGCCGCAAAAAACGATACCACGCGTCGGGCCGCCCAGGTTGCGCCAGAGCCAGGTGGCGCTGCAGGCGCGTGGCGGCGGCGAGTACGACGTCAGCCCTTTGGTCAGCAGAGGGTATTGCGGGAACAAGCTTGTTGATGTACAAGGTATGTGCCAGGGATGTTGGGTGGGGTCCATGGGATGGTTGGTTGTGTTGTTCTAAGTTTTTTTGATTGGGTGCCTGCATGGTGCAGCCAGTGCCTTGTTTGCGAGGCGACGCGGACATTGATGCCTTCTACAACTCCCTGCTGACGGGATCGGGCGGTGACCCCCCCAAGGCGCGGAGGATCCAAGAGAGTTTGGCGTGCAGAGGCTATGGCAAAGAATGGGAGGTCGACAATCAGGTTGTTGTTTCTTTTCTTGTTGATTGCATTGACCATGAATTTGAATGTTTCAAGTTTCAAGTGTGTTGGCAGACATATTTCCGATTTCTTAGAGCTTGCCTTGTTGTTTAGCCGCTTGGCTTCGCGACTGCTTGGCTGCTGATTGGCTTATGGTGCAGGGCACCGTGCTGTCGGAGCTCATCGTGAAGTTCTTCCACGGCGATTTCACGCCCCAGGGCTTCAAGCGCTACTCTGGCCTGTGGAAGGGCCCTCCTCCTGGCAACATCGGCAAGAAGGCGAGCAGAGAGACCAGAAAAACCAGGGAGACGGGCAGACTACAAGGAGGACGGGCAGACTACAAGGGAGAGGAGGGAGACGAAGAAGAGATAGAGGGTTCGGCCAGAGATCCAACGAAAAGGAGACCTGACACGTTGAAGGCTTGTCATGAGTTCCCTGGGCAATCCCCGCTCCGTTTCGGCATTTCCGAGTGACCACTTGAACGTTTTCTGTGGCAGGACATTGCCATCGGTGTTGAGAAGCTGAAGGAGCAGATGGCCAACCCCATGCGACTTGTCAGCTGAGGGCTGTGAGCAGGCTTCTCTTGCATGCATTCCATTCCACTTTCCTGCCCAAGCAGTATGGTCTACAGAGGCATGTTTGAAGAAAACATTGATGAGACTAAGTCCAAGCTGGGATTTTTGGTGAGGGTTGTGCTGGCCTGAGGTTCGTGACCAAGGGCGGCGTGGGCTACGGTGTGGATGAGACGCAGAAGGTGGTGGACGATGGCAAGGGCTGGGTCTGGCTGGCAGCCGAGATGAGCCCGGGAGGCGCGTGTGGATGCATGACGCCACGTCGCGACGACGGGTGTCGCCGAGTGATGGAATGGCGCCCAAGTGACGGGCCCCGTATGAACCTTGTTTGCCGCAAGTGATGGGCTGGTTCGGCTGGTTTGTCTGCAGCTTCGAGAGGCCTCGCCGTGGAGCTCTTCAAGGCCGTGCCCTACGGTAAGCGTGCTGTGCTGGTGGCCAAGCAGAACAACGTGGCGGAGCTCTTCGACAAGGCCCGGCTGAGAGCAGCCGAGCGTCTTCCCGGTTCAAGCGATTTCCGTGTTTTGGTGTCTCCGGGCGCAGGTGAATTGGGATACAGCCCTGGGGAACATCGAGAAGACCTTCGGCGGGCCTCAGGTGGGATCGAGCGCAGCGATAGGTATATCGTTCAAAGCTTGAGGATTCTTTGCCTAATGGCCCAGTGAAGCAGCGCTGAGGGGGGGGGAGGCTCGGGATCTGCAAACCACATCTCCCAAGCAAGCTACGAGGATGTCACAGGTCATACACAGGGTAGAGGCTATCGGCAGTTTTCTACACACTGCAGACGTTTCTCCCCTTTTGGGGGACGGGAGTGCTGACGGCCTCGCGTAGATCAAGCAGCGCTGAGCACGACGCGCAGCCTTGCCCAAGTTGTTCAGGTGCGGGTTGAGGCATGCACGTCTTTTCCAAACTGCTTGCAAGGGATTGTGGCGTGCATGCATTCGATCAAACATTGGTCTCTTGTTGACATGGGATTTGGAGTCAGTGGGGCACTGGTGTGCAGCAGTGAACTGGCCCTAAAGCGCCTGCTGCCAGACTCAGCCACCTTTCTATGGACGCTTAGAGAGGTGTTGGAGTTGCCACGTTTCTTCTTGGCACTTTGACGCATATTGTTTGAGCACCATGGGTGAGCAATGGATTTGCCTGCAATCTCCACCGTTGATTGTCAGAGTCTCGCGTTGTGGCCAGGTGTGGAGCGTCCTTGTGCCAACCATTTTTCTGCCTAAAGGCGATGCCTGGTCACCTCACTGTGGCCGGGCGAGTTTCTCACAGGGTGCTGCCAGCGCAAGGGACAAACCATCCATCCACGGACTTGTTTGAACCAAGGAGTGGCATTTGGCAGTGCATTGAGTCTGCTTGTTGATTGGGCTGGGTAGCTGAAGTTATGGTTTCTGATGCATTTGAGTACATAGCAATTATGCAAAGTCTCCAGGTGCGCCAAGTACCCTCAGAAAATTGCCTGCGCGGCTTTGCTGCTTTGATTTTGACTCTGTGATGCCGTTATTCTCCATGCTTCAAAGTCCTATGCCGGGTGCCAGGTGATTGCGTTGCTGTGCAATCTGGCCAACTGAAATTGCCCTTGGACGCTCATCAGCTTGGCTCGACGCGAAGCTGCGATTTTGCCAGCCACCATGGTGCGAGCGTCCAACCGCCTGTTGGTGTCACCTGACTGCAATGAAGTGTAGCAATCCCAGGCGCAAGAGGGCATGAGTTGCAGAAAGCGTCAGAGGCAGCAGAGGATTCGATCAGGCACAGACAGGTGATGTCAGCATGTCTCGGCGAAGGTCAGCCGTGCTGGCCGTCGGGGCCTTCACCCTGACGCGCCTCTGCTTCGTGGCGCCGCCGCCTGCCGTGCACCAGCCGTACCTCGGCTGGGCCGTTGGGGCATGTGGAAGTCGGTCAGGGGGCTGGGTCAAGCTGGATCCGGTACAGCGTATGCCGCAAGAAACGATACCACGCGTCGGGCCGCCCAGGTTGCGCCAGAGCCAGGTGGCGCTGCAGGCGCGTGGCGGCGGCGAGTACGACGTCAGCCCTTTGGTCAGCAGAGGGTATTGCGGGAACAAGCTTGTTGATGTACAAGGTATGTGCCAGGGATGTTGGGTGGGGTCCATGGGATGGTTGGTTGTGTTGTTCTAAGTTTTTTTGATTGGGTGCCTGCATGGTGCAGCCAGTGCCTTGTTTGCGAGGCGACGCGGACATTGATGCCTTCTACAACTCCCTGCTGACGGGATCGGGCGGTGACCCCCCCAAGGCGCGGAGGATCCAAGAGAGTTTGGCGTGCAGAGGCTATGGCAAAGAATGGGAGGTCGACAATCAGGTTGTTGTTTCTTTTCTTGTTGATTGCGTTGACCATGAATTTGAATGTTTCAAGTTTCAAGTGTGTTGGCAGACATATTTCCTTTTTTCTTAGAGCTTGCCTTGTTGTTTAGCCGCTTGGCTTCGCGACTGCTTGGCTGCTGATTGGCTTATGGTGCAGGGCACCGTGCTGTCGGAGCTCATCGTGAAGTTCTTCCACGGCGATTTCACGCCCCAGGGCTTCAAGCGCTACTCTGGCCTGTGGAAGGGCCCTCCTCCTGGCAACATCGGCAAGAAGGCGAGCAGAGAGACCAGAAAAACCAGGGAGACGGGCAGACTACAAGGAGGACGGGCAGACTACAAGGGAGAGGAGGGAGACGAAGAAGAGATAGAGGGTTCGGCCAGAGATCCAACGAAAAGGAGACCTGACACGTTGAAGGCTTGTCATGAGTTCCCTGGGCAATCCCCGCTCCGTTTCGGCATTTCCGAGTGACCACTTGAACGTTTTCTGTGGCAGGACATTGCCATCGGTGTTGAGAAGCTGAAGGAGCAGATGGCCAACCCCATGCGACTTGTCAGCTGAGGGCTGTGAGCAGGCTTCTCTTGCATGCATTCCATTCCACTTTCCTGCCCAAGCAGTATGGTCTACAGAGGCAAGTTTGAAGAAAACATTGATGAGACTAAGTGCAAGCTGGGATTTTTGGTGAGGGTTGTGCTGGCCTGAGGTTCGTGACCAAGGGCGGCGTGGGCTACGGTGTGGATGAGACGCAGAAGGTGGTGGACGATGGCAAGGGCTGGGTCTGGCTGGCAGCCGAGATGAGCCCGGGAGGCGCGTGTGGATGCATGACGCCACGTCGCAACGACGGGTGTCGCCGAGTGATGGAATGGCGCCCAAGTGACGGGCCCCGTATGAACCTTGTTTGCCGCAAGTGATGGGCTGGTTCGGCTGGTTTGTCTGCAGCTTCGAGAGGCCTCGCCGTGGAGCTCTTCAAGGCCGTGCCCTACGGCAAGCGTGCCGTGCTGGTGGCCAAGCAGAACAACGTGGCGGAGCTCTTCGACAAGGCCCGGCTGAGAGCAGCCGAGCGTCTTCCCGGTTCAAGCGATTTCCGTGTTTTGGCGTCTCCGGGCGCAGGTGAATTGGGATACAGCCCTGGGGAACATCGAGAAGACCTTCGGCGGGCCTCAGGTGGGATTCTACGCAGCGATAGGTATATCGTTCAAAGCTTGAAGGTCTTCAAATAGCAGAGCATACAGCTTTGGCTAAGCTAGACTGCTCGTAGACTCGTAGTCCTTCTAAATAGCTCCGGCCTAGGGAATCTGCAAGCCAAGCAAGCAACGAGGATGTCACGGGTCATATACAGGGTCAGGGCGATCGACATTTTTCTACATGCTGCAGACGGTTCGCCCATTTTGGGGGGAGGGGAGTGCTGACGGCCTCGCGCAGATCAAGCAGCGCTGAGCACGACGCGCAGCCTTGCCCAAGTTGTTCAGGTGCGGGTTGAGGCATGCACGTCTTTTCCAAACTGCTTGCAAGGGATTGTGGCGTGCATGCAATTGACCAAGCATTGGTAGCTTGTTGATATGGGATTTGGAGTCAGTGGGGCTGACCATGTGTGAGCAATGGGTTTGCCTGCAATCGCCATCGTTGATTGCCAGAGTCTCGCGGGGCGGCCAGGTGTGGAGCGGCCTTGTGCCAACCAGTTTTCTGCCTAAAGGCGATGCCTGGTCACTTCACTGTGGCCGGGCGAGTTCTCAAAGGGTGCTGCCAGCGCAAGGGACAAACCATCCATCCACGGACTTGTTGGAACCAAGGAGTGACATTTTGCAGTGTATTGAGTCAGCTTGTTGATTGGGCTGGGTAGCTGAAGTTATGGCTTCTGATGCATTTAAGTACATAGCAATTATGCAAAGTCTCCAGGTGCGCCAAGTACCCTCAGAAAATTGCCTGCGCGGCTTTGCTGCTTTGATTTTGACTCTGTGATGCCTTTATTCTCCATGCTTCAAAGTCCTATGCCGGGTGCCAGGTGATTGCGTTGCTGTGCAATCTGGCTAACTGAAATTGACCTTGGACGCTCATCAGCTTGGCTCGACGCGAAGCTGCGATTTTGCCAGCCACCATGGTGCGAGCGTCCAACCGCCTGTTGGTGTCACCTGATTGCAATGCAGTGTAGCAGCAGTCAGGCAAGAGGGTGACCGCAGGGGCAAGAGGGCGCCAGAGGCAGCAGAGGATTCGATCAGGCACAGACAGGTGATGTCAGCATGTCTCGGCGAAGGTCAGCCGTGCTGGCCGTCGGGGCCTTCACCCTGACGCGCCTCTGCTTCGTGGCGCCGCCGCCTGCCGTGCACCAGCCGTACCTCGGCTGGGCCGTTGGGGCATGTGGAAGTCGGTCAGGGGGCTGGGTCAAGCTGGATCCGGTACAGCGTATGCCGCAAGAAACGATGCCACGCGTCGGGCCGCCCAGGTTGCGCCAGAGCCACGTGGCGCTGCAGGCGCGTGGCGGCGGCGAGTACGACGTCAGACCCCTGGCCAGCAGAGGGTATTACGGGAACAAGCCTGTTGCTGTACAAGGTATGTGCCAGGGATGTTGGGCGGGGTCCATGGGATGGTTGGTTGTGTTGTTCTAAGTTTTTTTGAGATTGGGTGCCTGCATGGTGCAGCCAGTGCCTTGTTTGCGAGGCGACGCGGACATTGATGCCTTCTACAACTCCCTGCTGACGGGATCGGGCGGTGACCCCCCCAAGGTGCGGAGTATCGAAAAGAGCTTGGCGTGCAGAGGCTAGGGCAAAGAATGGGAGGTCGACAATCAGGTTGTTGTTTCTTTTCTTGTTCAATGCGTTGACCATGAATTTGAATGTTTCAAGTTTCAATTGCGTTGGCAGACATGTTTCCGATTTGCTTAGAGTTTAGCGGCTTGGCTTCGCGACTGCTTAGCTACCGTTTGGCTTAGATGGTGGAAGACCGTGATGTGGGGTGCAGGGCACGGTGCTGTCGGAGCTCATCGTGAAGTTCTTCCACGGCGATTTCACGCCCCAGGGCTTCAAGCGCTACTCTGGCCTGTGGAAGGGCCCTCCTCCTGGCAACATCGGCAAGAAGGCGAGCAGAGAGACCAGAAAAACCAGGGAGACGGGCAGACTACAAGGAGGACGGGCAGACTACAAGGGAGAGGAGGGAGACGAAGAAGAGATAGAGGGTTCGGCCAGAGATCCAACGAAAAGGAGACCTGACACGTTGAAGGCTTGTCATGAGTTCCCTGGGCAATCCCCGCTCCGTTTCGGCATTTCCGAGTGACCACTTGAACGTTTTCTGTGGCAGGACATTGCCATCGGTGTTGAGAAGCTGAAGGAGCAGATGGCCAACCCCATGCGACTTGTCAGCTGAGGGCTGTGAGCAGGCTTCTCTTGCATGCATTGCATTCCACTTTCCTGCCCAAGCAGTATGGTCTACAGAGGCATGTTGAAGAAAACATTGATGAGACTAAGTCCAAGCTGGGATTTTTGGTGAGGGTTGTGCTGGCCTGAGGTTCGTGACCAAGGGCGGCGTGGGCTACGGTGTGGATGAGACGCAGAAGGTGGTGGACGATGGCAAGGGCTGGGTCTGGCTGGCAGCCGAGATGAGCCCGGGAGGCGCGTGTGGATGCATGACGCCACGTCGCGACGACGGGTGTCGCCGAGTGATGGAATGGCGCCCAAGTGACGGCCCCGTATGAACCTTGTTTGCCGCAAGTGATGGGCTGGTTCGGCTGGTTTGTCTGCAGCTTCGAGAGGCCTCGCCGTGGAGCTCTTCAAGGCCGTGCCCTACGGCAAGCGTGCTGTGCTGGTGGCCAAGCAGAACAACGTGGCGGAGCTCTTCGACAAGGCCCGGCTGAGAGCAGCCGAGCGTCTTCCCGGTTCAAGCGATTTCCGTGTTTTGGTGTCTTTCTGAGATTCTGTTGTGTGTCGCCGGTTGTCAGTCACTCGTTGTTGTGACTGGGGGTTTTCAGCCGATGCTTCCGGGCGCAGGTGAATTGGGATACAGCCCTGGGGAACATCGAGAAGACCTTCGGCGGGCCTCAGGTGGGATCGAGCGCAGCGACGGGTATATCGTTCAAAGCTTGAGGATTCTTTGCCTAATCGCCCAGTGAAGCAGCGCTGAGGGGGGGGTGGCTGACTGTTTGTAGAGCGGCAAGTCTGCTCCTTTTCAAGGGATCTGCAAACCACAGCTCCCAAGCAAGCAACGAGATGTCATGGGTGATATACACCATCAGTTTTCTAGATTGCTCATGCAATAAGTCCTCTCTCGTCGCAGATGCAACACCCCAACACAGCACTGCAGATGCTGGTTCGTTTTGGGGGAGGGGAGTGCTGCCGGCCTCGTGCAGATCAAGCAGCGCTGAGCACGACGCCCAGCCTTGCGCAAGTTGTTCAGGTGCGGGTTGGGGCATGCACGTCTCTTGCAAACTGGTTTCACGGGATTGTGGCGTGTGCTTGTTGATTTGGAATGAGGCACTGGTGTGGCTTGTAGCAGTGACATGGTGCTAAAGAACCTGTAAGCTGCTAGACTCAGCCACCTTTTGCTGTTGGAGATTGGAATTGCAATCGCTACCGTTGATTGTCAGAGTCTCGCGGTGCGGCCAGGTGTGGAGCGTCCTTGTGCCAACCATTTTTCTGCCTAAAGGCGATGCCTGGTCACCTCACTGTGGCCGGCCGAGTTTCTCACATGTTGCTGCCAGCGCAAGGGACAAACGATCCATCCACGGACTTGTTAGAACCAAGGAGTCACATTGTTGAGCCAGCTTGTTGATTGTGCTGGGTGGCAGACGTTATAGATTCTGATGCACTTGACTACATAGCAACTATGCAAAGTCTCCAGGTGCGCCAAGTACCCTCAGAAAATTGCCTGCGCGGCTTTGCTGCTTTGATTTTGACTCTGTGATGCCGTTATTCTCCATGCTTCAAAGTCCTATGCCGGGTGCCAGGTGATTGCGTTGCTGTGCAATCTGGCTAGCTGAAATTGACCTTGGACGCTCATCAGCTTGGCTCGACGCGAAGCTGCGATTTTGCCAGCCACCATGGTGCGAGCGTCCAACCGCCTGTTGGTGCCACCTGACTGCAATGCAGTGTAGCAATCCCAGGCGCAAGAGGGCATGAGTTGCAGAAAGCGTCAGAGGCAGCAGAGGATTCGATCAGGCACAGATAGGTGATGTCAGCATGTCTCGGCGAAGGTCAGCCGTGCTGGCCGTCGGGGCCTTCACCCTGACGCGCCTCTGCTTCGTGGCGCCGCCGCCTGCCGTGCACCAGCCGTACCTCGGCTGGGCCGTTGGGGCATGTGGAAGTCGGTCAGGGGGCTGGGTCAAGCTGGATCCGGTACAGCGCATGCCGCAAGAAACGATGCCACGCGTCGGGCCGCCCAGGTTGCGCCAGAGCCAGGTGGCGCTGCAAGCGCGTGGCGGCGGCGAGTACGACGTCAGCCCTTTGGTCAGCAGAGGGTAGTGCGGAACAAGCTTGTTGATGTACAAGGTATGTGCCAGGGATGTTGGGTGGGGTCCATGGGATGGTTGGTTGTGTTGTTCTAAGTTTTTTTGATTGGGTGCCTGCATGGTGCAGCCAGTGCCTTGTTTGCGAGGCGACGCGGACATTGATGCCTTCTACAACTCCCTGCTGACGGGATCGGGCGGTGACCCCCCCAAGGCGCGGAGGATCCAAGAGAGTTTGGCGTGCAGAGGATATGGCAAAGAATGGGAGGTCGACAATCAGGTTGTTGTTTCTTTTCTTGTTGATTGCGTTGACCATGAATTTGAATGTTTCAAGTTTCAAGTGTGTTGGCAGACATATTTCCGATTTTCTTAGAGCTTGCCTTGTTGTTTAGCCGCTTGGCTTCGCGACTGCTTGGCTGCTGATTGGCTTATGGTGCAGGGCACCGTGCTGTCGGAGCTCATCGTGAAGTTCTTCCACGGCGATTTCACGCCCCAGGGCTTCAAGCGCTACTCTGGCCTGTGGAAGGGCCCTCCTCCTGGCAACATCGGCAAGAAGGCGAGCAGAGAGACCAGAAAAACCAGGGAGACGGGCAGACTACAAGGGAGACGGGCAGACTACAAGGGAGAGGAGGGAGACGAAGAAGAGATAGAGGGTTCGGCCAGAGATCCAACGAAAAGGAGACCTGACACGTTGAAGGCTTGTCATGAGTTCCCTGGGCAATCCCCGCTCCGTTTCGGCATTTCCGAGTGACCACTTGAACGTTTTCTGTGGCAGGACATTGCCATCGGTGTTGAGAAGCTGAAGGAGCAGATGGCCAACCCCATGCGACTTGTCAGCTGAGGGCTGTGAGCAGGCTTCTCTTGCATGCATTGCATTCCACTTTCCTGCCCAAGCAGTATGGTCTACAGAGGCATGTTTGAAGAAAACATTGATGAGACTAAGTCCAAGCTGGGATTTTTGGTGAGGGTTGTGCTGGCCTGAGGTTCGTGACCAAGGGCGGCGTGGGCTACGGTGTGGATGAGACGCAGAAGGTGGTGGACGATGGCAAGGGCTGGGTCTGGCTGGCAGCCGAGATGAGCCCGGGAGGCGCGTGTGGATGCATGACGCCACGTCGCGACGACGGGTGTCGCCGAGTGATGGAATGGCGCCCAAGTGACGGGCCCCGTATGAACCTTGTTTGCCGCAAGTGATGGGCTGGTTCGGCTGGTTTGTCTGCAGCTTCGAGAGGCCTCGCCGTGGAGCTCTTCAAGGCCGTGCCCTACGGCAAGCGTGCTGTGCTGGTGGCCAAGCAGAACAACGTGGCGGAGCTCTTCGACAAGGCCCGGCTGAGAGCAGCCGAGCGTCTTCCCGGTTCAAGCGATTTCCGTGTTTTGGTGTCTCCGGGCGCAGGTGAATTGGGATACAGCCCTGGGGAACATCGAGAAGACCTTCGGCGGGCCTCAGGTGGGATCGAGCGCAGCGATAGGTATATCGTTCAAAGCTTGAGGATTCTTTGCCTAATGGCCCAGTGAAGCAGCGCTGAGGGGGGGGAGGCTCGGGATCTGCAAACCACATCTCCCAAGCAAGCTACGAGGATGTCACAGGTCATACACAGGGTATTGGCCATCGGCAGTTTTCTACACACTGCAGACGTTTCTTCCCTTTTGGGGGACGGGAGTGCTGACAGCCTCGCGCAGATCAAGCAGCGCTGAGCACGATGCGCAGCCTTGCGCAAGTTGTTCAGGTGCGGGTTGGGGCATGCGTTTTTTTTTTTTTGCTTGCAAGGGATTGTGGCGTGCATGCATTCGATCAAACATTGGTCTCTTGTTGACATGGGATTTGAAGTCAGTGGGGCACTGGTGTGCAGCAGTGAACTGGCCCTAAAGCGCCTGCTGCCAGACTCAGCCACCTTTCTATGGACACTTAGAGAGGTGTTGGAGTTGCCACGTTTCTTCTTGGCACTTTGACGCATATTGTTTGAGCACCATGGGTGAGCAATGGATTTGCCTGCAATTTCCACCGTTGATTGTCAGAGTCTCGCGTTGTGGCCAGGTGTGGAGCGTCCTTGTGCCAACCAGTTTTCTGCCTAAAGGCGATGCCTGGTCACCTCGCTGTGACCGGGCGAGTTTCTCACAGGGTGCTGCCAGCGCAAGGGACAAACCATCCATCCACGGACTTGTTTGAACCAAGGAGTGGCATTTTGCAGTGCATTGAGTCTGCTTGTTGATTGGGCTGGGTAGCTGAAGTTATGGCTTCTGATGCATTTGAGTACATAGCAATTATGCAAAGTCTCCAGGTGCGCCAAGTACCCTCGAAAAATTGCCTGCGCGGCTTTGCTGCTTTGATTTTGACTCTGTGATGCCGTTATTCTCCATGCTTCAAAGTCCTATGCCGGGTGCCAGGTGATTGCGTTGCTGTGCAATCTGGCTAGCTGAAATTGCCCTTGGACGCTCATCAGCTTGGCTCGACGCGAAGCTGCGATTTTGCCAGCCACCATGGTGCGAGCGTCCAACCGCCTGTTGGTGTCACCTGACTGCAATGAAGTGTAGCAGCAGTCAGGCAAGAGGGTGACCGCAGGGGCAAGAGGGCGCCAGAGGCAGCAGAGGATTCGATCAGGCACAGATAGGTGATGTCAGCATGTCTCGGCGAAGGTCAGCCGTGCTGGCCGTCGGGGCCTTCACCCTGACGCGCCTCTGCTTCGTGGCGCCGCCGCCTGCCGTGCACCAGCCGTACCTCGGCTGGGCCGTTGGGGCATGTGGAAGTCGGTCAGGGGGCTGGGTCAAGCTGGATCCGGTACGGCGTATGCTGGGGCGGTTGACTTGCTTTGCTGCTTTGAAATCCGGTACAGCATATTTGCCGTCAGTAAAGATGCCACACGTCGGGCTGCCCAGGTTGCGCCAGAGCCACGTGGCGCTGCAGGCGCGCGGCGGCGGCGAGTACGACGTCAGCCCCCTGGCCAGCAGAGAGTTGCTGGATTCTGTTCGGGCAGGGTATTACGGGAACAAGCTTGTTGACGTACAAGGTATGTGCCAGGGATGTTGGACGGGGTCCATGCAATGGTTGGTCATTTCTATGATTGGGTGCCTGCATGGTCGCAGCCAGTGCCTTGTTTGCAAGGCGACGCGGACATTGATGCCTTCTACAACTCCCTGCTGACGGGATCGGGCGGTGACCCCCCCAAGGCGCGGAGTATCGAAGAGAGTTTGGCGAGGATAGGGCCAAGACTGGGAGGTCGACAAGCAGGTTGTTGTTTCCTTTCTGTTTTTGGGGGCATGTATTTTTATCATAGCAGTTTGTAGTACGCCATTACCCAACGCGGTATTTGGCTCAAGCTTTTCAATCCGGCAACTAGCCCTTGCAATTTCGTCACCGCGCACTGCGGCACGTCACGCTCATCTTCGGCAAACAGTGCCGCTGCCGAGCGCTCGTGGTGGTGTTTCCGGTGGAGGTTGGTCGGGGGATCTGGTTGGGGTTGGTGCGCATTTGGTTTGCTTTGCTTGCTTCGCTGCATTGTTTGCCTGCTTGGTTTGCTGCTTTGTGCTTGCTCACGGTTGTCTCTGCCCTTGCTGGGTTCATTCATCTTTTGGTTAAAGGCACCCTGTTTTGGTTCGTTGTTTGTGCCAGCCGGGGGCACCGCTTTGCCCTTGGGACTGGGGGACTTAAACAATCTCTTCTTGTTGGTGGGATTGGGCCTGTTTATTCTCTCCCGAAACTCTGTTTCAAACCCTTTCGCAGGTTATCAGCCGTAGGATTCGTCCTCGGTTGGCACCGCGAACCCCTTGTTTAACAACCCTGCAGGCTTTGTAGGGTAGTGTGCAAATCATGGCGGGAATCACTGAGGACGGACCTCATGTGGTGACCGATGAATGGGTTCTCGGCCAGGCCGGAATCTTGGACGTTGTGAATGACGACCAAGTGCCCGGACAGCCGATGTTTTCCGGTCCTGACTTTTTGTCGGACCACACTTTTTCAGAAGCAATGCCTTCAGAGAGATCCAGTGCTACTCGCACTGATGATCTATCGTCTAGTGCCTCAAGAGCTAATCGCTCTCAGGGTCGTGGGTCTAATCGTCCTGGCCATGATGATTCCGTCTCAGGACGTGATGATGACGAGCCCGGTATTGCACCTGGAGCTCAATCCTCATCTTTCCCCGAGCTGATGAATATTGGTCAGTCCGAAATTCGTGACTCCCGAGGCAGCAGTAGACCTGTGCCAACCAGTAGCATAGCTTTTCAAGTGCTCGGTAATCCCGAACTGGTACATCCAGTGGAGTTGCATTTGACGTTCATCTGCCGACCGAATCCGGTGGGCTCGATTGGAGAGCCTCATGGCCTAACGACGGAAACATTTTTGGTATGGATTTTGCCGCATGGATGCCAGGGCCACCCGCCCCGTCATCTTTCCCGCAATTCCAAAGCCCAAAACGGGCTGCTGGAAGCGATGAATTCATGCTACCTTTGTCGATTGAGAATCTCAATCCTGACGTGGCCAGCCGTAACGTCAGGCCAAGGCCGTCGGTAAACCCGACCATGAGGAACATGTCCCCTCCCCCTGGACTTTCAGGATTTGAGAGCCCTAGGGAGCGTAATATCGTAGATAGATTGGATTTGCATCCCAGTCCAACCCCAAGCAAACGATCAAGGTCAAATTCGACTGGATCGCATAGGGCTAGGGGGATGGATCGGGAAACTGCCCATAGGATTAACCCCAATACGCGGGACTCAGGACGCGGTCGATCAGGTGACCCAGCGTCGATCATTGGTAGAGATCCGCTAAACGCGGACACGTTGATTAACGTGCTTGATGGGATCGAGGCATTCCAGGAGGAATTCAATAGGTCGAGTGGCCCGAATGTACAGCATGTTCGCCCTACGCCCAATGCGGCCTCATTTCTCGCCATTGACAACACAGACGGAGCTGATGTTCCGATTGAGTCTGAATCCATGATGGCATCAAGTTCCAATCACAACAACACCGTCAGCAGCGCTACCGATGTTGAATCAATGTCTGAGTCTAGAGCGTCCAATGCGACTGATTTGCATGACGTTGTCATTGCTGATATGAAGCCTGAAGTTCCTATGCGGACTGACAGGCCGGTAGTTCCCAAATTGTTTGTGACAAAGGGTCTAGGCATGCCACAGCCATCAGCTGTTCGTGATGCCAGAAGATCACCGTATCAGAGTCAGTCTCCGAATCGGAGCGAATTCCCGCGGTCATCAACGGCGGTACAAGATGATTTCAGGACACCTCCGAGATCTAATCCGATCATGGTTGATTTGTCCACTCCTCGAGATCGCGGATCAGGATTTGGTCCTGCGAGTGAGGAGCAACCCAACGAGGTTGCTGATCTTGTAACAGCCCTTGAAAGAGGGAGAGTGGACTCTTCGGTAAGTGCGATTATTCATCGCCTGGTTGCTAAGGTCGAAGACCTTGGGCGTAGGAATGATAGAAGTGATCAATGCATCAAGCAGCTCTCCACTGAGGTTAACTCGTGGAGGGCCAAATACGACCAATGCGTCCATGTGAGTAGCACGTGTACGCAGGCTGCGAACGCGGCCATGCAGCTGTCACAAGGGACTAAGGACATCGTGACCGAGCTTGGCCAACGCGTCAAGATCGTTTCCAATCGCATGATAAGCATAGGCGATGCCCTAAATGAGCGAGCCAGCTATGATGATGTTGCTCGCTCCATCACCCAGGTTCAAACTGTTTTTGAATCTCTCTGATCGAGTAACCGGGCTTATAGCTCGTGTTGATATGATCGAGAGATCTCTAGTGGAGAGCCAATCCAACCATCCTGCGATTGGTGGAGTAAACCTCAAAATCGAGGACCTGTCCACTAGGGTATGTCAGATTGATAGGATGATGCAAGATGTCGAACAATGCTGGACCAATAATAGGGACGGCATAAAGTGGGTTAAAGACCAACTTTATGAGACACAAGCCAACCTTGAGATAAAGTCAAGGGACTGCAAGTCCTACACGGACAAGCAAAATACTCATAACATGGCCGTTTCGACTACGCTCAACAGTAAGCTCGAGCAAATGCTCGAGGTGC